ATGTCTCAACTCTCTGCTGACTGAGTTTGAAGTCTGTATCTCGAAAGCTGTAGGAGGAGATAGATCAGATGTGACATCTATGAAATATAGGAAATTGCGGCTTTGATCCAAAATGGCCGACTTCCTGTTGGGTTTGGACCATGGCTCCAAGAGACTTTTTTGTACATCCTGATGAGTTACACATGTGTACCAAGTTTCATAATTCTGAGATAAAGCATGGCTTGGGGCTGATCATTTAAAACACGCTAGAGGGCGCTGTTGATACATTAGGCCACGCCCACCAAATATTACACTGGATTCCTGTCCGGGGTTGGACCAAGATCCATCCTAGTGAGGTTGGTGCAGCTGCACCTAAAATAGTGGAATTCAGAGCCATAAGTATGGGCACGTTCTTAAAGGTCACTTTGCCACGCTGCCACGCCCACCTGCTACATCCCAGCCAGATGGGGTTGGAATCCAATATACACCAACATGTCCTCTGTCTCTGGACATAGTTTCATGTTGATTAGGTCAAAGGGGTCAGATAGCGACAGTTTACAGTAAAACATGACACTTCCTGTTCTCAGGGGGCGTGGCCTAAGTGATGTCATCATTTGACCATTGGGTATTGTAGGGGACCCGATGATGATCAATCACTGAAAGTTTGGTGCCGCTGTGAGTTTTTTTGTAAAAGTTATAACCGTTAAACAGCACAATTTCAATAGGCTTCGCAGCGCTTAGCTGCTCGGGCCTAATAAAGCTGCAGTGGTTTATAATGTACATAATTTGCTTCATTGGTTCCTGCAGATGCTCAGCAGATTTTGCTGCTTAAAGATGCTCCTGAAGAACATGGTCCAGGTTTTGACCTAGAGTGTCCAGAGTCTCTCCCATCAACCATGAATGAGGATGATGAAGAGTTTCTCCTGTCTTCTCACCTTCATCAGCAACACAGAGAGTTACCAGAAGATCACTGTGAAGCAGCAGAACCTATCAGAAAGCAAGATCATGGAGATTATTTCAACTCATCAGAGACTGAACTCATTGAGGAGGATGAAGTTGATGTAAATAATGTTTTCTGTCAACTTGAGCAATTGCCAGATTACAAGCCAAAATGTGAATACAGGGAAAATGACAGCAAGGTGAGCCATTCAACTAAAGGTTCTCCAATCTCTGAGGATAAAATGAAATCCTTTACTTCAAAGAAAACCCTAGACTCAAAGAGGAAAGTTCAGGTTAAAATGAAGTTTATCTGTGATGACAATGGTAAAACATGTAAAAAAAATCCAACATCAAAAAGACATGCAAGAACCCTAGCAGGACATGAACATCTCTGTAAATTGTGTGGACACACATTTAACAGAAGTTACTTAGACACACACATGAAAATCCACACAGGAGAGAAACCTTTCAGTTGTGATCTTTGTGAATACAGATGTACCCAAAAATCAAGTTTAAATGTACACATGAGAACCCATTCAGAAGAGAAGCCTTTCAGTTGTGATCTTTGTGGATACAGATGTATCCAAAAATCAAGTTTAAATGAACACATGAGAATCCACACAGGAGAGAAGCCTTTCAGTTGTGATCTTTGTGGATACAGATTTAGCAGAAAATCTAATTTAAATGTACACATGAGAATCCACACAGGAGAAAAACCTTTCAGTTGTGATCTTTGTGGATACAGATTTAGCAGAAAATCTCATTTAAATGTACACATGAGAATCCACACAGGAGAAAAACCTTTCAGTTGTGATCTTTGTGGATACAGATGTAGCATAAAATCAAGTTTAAATGTACACATGAGAATCCACACAAAGTATCAACCTTTCAGTTGTGATGTTTGTTTGCGAAGATTTAGTCAGTTAGGTCACTTGAACAAGCACATGAAAATCCACACAGGAGAAAAACCCTTCAGTTGTTAACTTTGTGCATACAGATGTAGCAGAAAATCTAGTTTAAATGCACAAATGACCATCCACACAGGGAACAAACCTTTCAGTCGTAATGTTTTCTCTTAAAGGTTTAGTCAGAAAGTTCAATTGTTGAACCAGCACATGAAAATGCACACAAGAGAAAAACCTTTCAATTGTGATCTTTGTGGATACAAAGATCACAATGCAAAGACAAGTATTTTTGTGGATACTTGTTAAATGTCTGAACATTTAAACAGACACATAAGAATCCACATGGAATATTAAGCTTTGTGTTGTGATCTTATTGAATCAGATATAAAAATAAATCGAGTTTAACCCTCTTACGACCAACCTGTTGACGCCAACAGGATTCGGCTTGTGTACTTCCCATTACCATAATTTCTGAACAGTTCAACATATCAAAAAATTTCCACAAGTGCAGAAAAGCTGAGACATTGCGCTTTCAGGGCATATGTGATACATTACGGTAGCCACCAATCACAAGAAAGATTCTCCGTTGTGTCATATTTGTCACCTAACCTCTGTATCAAAACTCCTGAACGGTTAGCCGCATTTTAAAAATGCCATACTGTCCAGTATGTCCCCTGCCTCTTGCTCTTGACCACTGGAAACAGGTACCAGCATCCTCTCAACCTGAAGAGGCTAAATAATGCAGAGTCAAAATAAAATCTCTCAACATTTCCAAAAAATTCAAGTATAAAACTTAACATTCAAAGGCAAATACAGGATCCATTACAATAAACAATCCTGAGTTACTGAATGAAAACTTCCTGATAGAATGGCGGCTAGCTGATTACTGCTAGTTCTGATTGGCTGTTTCTGACTGAGCGGAGTAATTATGCAGAACAGGGAGGAGATCGATTATTTTTTCAGAGATTGTTTGTCTCATGTTAGGACAGTGAAAGTTTTAATACGTATGTAAAATTTATTTTTTAAAGTTAGATGCTGCAGCTTTAAGCAGGTTCGGTGTGAGAGTCACTACCAGGTGGAGCAGAAGCGGCGCTCCGTCTGTGAAATATTGCTATGTGTAGCGTAGCAGCGGTTCAACAGGAGAGCAGAACCAGCGTCTTACATCGCAGCTCGAAGACTTAAATAATTTTGCGGGTTATTTGTTTAGCTTTCTGACCGTCATGCTAATCCGGGTGAGTGTTTGTAGCTGCGCGCTGTTTTACCTGCTATCTGATCCTCCGTATGTCTTTTTTACTGCAGTGAGCCTCGATGTAGCCAAACTCCATCAAGTATGTCATTGTTTTTATGCCATATTAGATTCGTTTTGTTGATGCATTTTGACGTGCTTCAATTTTCCGCCGCAACACGCAAACTTCCCCATTCACTCAGTGCGTTCAAGTTCCACATCGCTTAGGATTTGTTGCTGCGCGTTTGCGCAGTGTGAAGGAAAGATGAGACCAGCTGCACAGGCAGGCTGCGAAATGAGAAGCAGGTGATCGGTATGTGTGATCGGCAACAAGAGACCGTGATCGGCGATCACCGATCATACACTTTTTCACGGAAAGCAGCTGATTATGTTTTCTAGCGAAGTGAATGTTTAGAATTTAGGAGTGTGAATTAAAATGATGGATTTTCTGTGTTAGAAATGTCTTCTCAGGGTCTTCATTTTCCAATTCTGAGTCCTGCTCTTAACAAGGAGTCTTTGCTTAAGTGGTTCAGTCGGCTGCTGAGAGAGAAACTGAGTGAGGTTTCAACAGTGTATTTGATCCCTTTGTTAGGAATGCTGTTTTCTAGGGATTATTGGTTCTTGTTTAGTGGTGTAAACACTTCTTACTGCCTTAGATTGGTAAGCAGTGTGAACCAAATGTTTGCAAAGATGAACTTGTATCCCAAAGGACTGTCTTACAAATTCAAGATGGTTCAGTAACTTTTACTTCGAGTTTTTCTGAAATAAATTAATTCCTAAATAGAAATATGATGCAAAAACCCCCAAATCAAATACACCTCATAAAATCTATGGTAATTGATTCATGCAGTCTAGACTGCATTAAGAAAAATGGGTAACACTTTATTTGAAGGGCTGGGCAAAAGACTGACATGACACTGTCATAAACATGACATAACCTGTCATGAGCATGAAGACGTTTTTATGAATGTTTATGACAGTTGTCATGAAGTGTCATTCAATTCAACTTTGCATTAAATTATCATTTACCAAATCATCCAAAGTTGGCACTTTTAATGGACTTTTAATGCAACTTTGCATGAAGTCATTATTTACCGAATGATGCTACATAACAACTGTCATAAACATTCATAAAGACTTCTTTATGTATGAAGAAGTCATGTCATAAACATGACGCTGTTTATGACAGTGTCATGTCAGTCTTATCCACACCCTTTCAAATAATGTTACCGAAAAATGTCATAACAAAATTATGCAAAATTTAATGCATTTCTACACAGCATTAATATGCAGTGCCTGCTATTCACATTTCTATTCATTTTACAGAGAATATTTCTAATGTCGGCCTTGCTGCCATTTTCCTTTCTTAGGACACTCGTGGCCGCAAGAGTTTCTATGGTACAAAATATTAGCATTTTGTAGCATTAGGCTACAATGCCTGATGCTTTTTAGTTTATCCATCCATCCATTTTCTTTACACCCTTGTCCCTCAGTGGGGTCGGGAGGGGTGCTGGTGCCTATCTCCAGCTAACGTTCCGGGCGAGAGGCGGGGTACACCCTGGACAGGTCGCTTTTTAGTTTATTCCCCCCCAAAAGTTATTCTTACCTTACCAAGGTAAAATTCTAAAAATCTTGAAATTCTAAGGATTTTCCTGAAATGTCTCTTTGAGCGACTACTAGATTTAGGATTTGAGAATGCAGGCCCTGGTCATGTAGACTCTTTTTATTAGAAAAGTTTGCATACCCTAAATTTTCTTTGTTCAATAAAGTAAATTGACTGTTTGCTATATTTTACTTTTATAGTTTGTATCAAAAAAAAAAAAAAAAAAAGAACTCAAGTGTAATTTTTGTGGGGAGAAAACCCTTCGTATTAAATTCTTGGTGTTCTATTAAGTTGTATTCTGTCATCGAAATAAAACCTTGTCACCTCCCTAAAAATGGTATAATTTATTTATTTTTTGCCTTAATTGTCTTTTGGCAATAAATGAATTGGGCCACTACTTTAAGAAGTGACCTATGCAGCTAACTGGTAACATCCCCTGAACGTTGTCATCACTGTTTGGAGAAGTTTGCAGGTGGGAATCAAAATGAAAAGCTGTTTAAACATTCAGCAGATGTTAATTTTTACCTTCACCAATTAACATAACCTGAATGAATGACTAAGATTATAAAGGCAAAAATTGTACAATATTAGTTGTTATTGAAACATTGATCAACATATTTTATTTTTGTTTGCAAAATGGCTTTAATGACATTTGAGAAAATGTAATGTTTAATTGATGGCTATGATGTAAACCAGTCTGAACTGCCTTGTCGCTGCCAAAGGATGCATAAACGGTCCGAAGTCTACACTAAGTTCACCACAAGGTGGCGCATAAGCGCCTCCTATCTGATGGATCCTGAGGATGTTTTTTTGGAAGAACATTTCCTGTATATTCAAAAAAGAAAAAATGCTGTAACTAATACTATTCATTGTTCCAAATGCAAGGAACAGAAAAACCTTAAATTAGAAATCTACGCACAGCCTGCCAGCCACTAATATCAGCAATGAAATAAGCACACAATATTGATGCAAATTTTCCCACAGTGTTACTGATGGCCATCAATAATCCTCTGTGTTTCATTTTAAGAACACTGTGCTTGCCATAGGCCTTGTTGACTCATTTAAAATGTGCCTTTGATAGTTGTAGGACGAAGTTTTGAAAATGGTGTGTGCTGTTAAGTGAATGGAATAGGAGAAATAAGAATTTTGCCTGGTTTTGACTTCATACAGTGAGACAAGATGTATGACTTTAAATTCAGTCTAATTGTCTTCTTCCATGAAATACTGAGAAGATAACTATGACGTGTTTTCAGAAGCAGTAAGCTGGTGAACGGTCTGCAGATGCAGGTGCTGTGGCCCTAGCGGAGGCCATTGTTCTCTCACAGTCCATGGCGGTTGAGAAGCACCCAAGGATGGCCGGATATCCCCCGGGGGTCTGTTTCAGCACCATATGCTGTTCTGCTGCTAAACCCCTCCCCGCCACCACGCCAACTGTTGCACTGGGCTGACCTTCAACCTCACACTTCAGATGCTCGCTCACAAACTTGCAGCTGATGGCCTGGATTCAGAAGTCCTCCCCACATCTCTGATTTTCATCCGTCCCTTGCAGTCAGCAGATTGTAGTGATGTGCAAAGGTTGTCTGATGGAGCAAAGTTTCCTGCAGTCATTAGTCCAGGGCGACTTGTGCAATTTTTAGATAATTTTTATGGACAGTAATAAAATAGAACTTTTTGGTTTTATAAATTTCCTGATTATAAGAAGTTGTGTTACACTTTTGATGTAATTAAGAGACTGTAAGTTCAATTTTAGCTGAAGCAAAGACATTTGTCAACATTCCTGCACTTTTGAGATTCTGTTGGACTAATTTCATACTCGGGCATAACACGGGGTTACAAAAAATATTTTTTGGAAGTTGTCAATGTTTTTTCAACCGAATTAGGAATATTTTGCATCACTGAATAAAAACAATGACATCCATTTTTTAAAATCAAGTCAGGTTTTTATTCTAATTTGATTTAGTGAAATCTGATCTTCTGACTATATTGATTACATTTTTGTGACATTATCAGTTCATTTCCGTTTGTATTTCTCATCCAAAAAATGCCTTACGAGACAAATTGTTTTCTAACAGTTAGTCTAACTATTAAAAACTTGGATTTTTATAAATTAATAAACACTGATATGGGTAAATACATGTGAATTGAACATTACGTCTTCATTGTGTAAAATTCTCTGATGTCTGATGAAATCTCTCCTCCTGCTCATCACTCATTGATCCCAGATTCTCAGGAAACTGATCCATATGTGAGAACAAGTCATGCATTCTGATGCTCATGTTGCATCCAGCGTTCAGAAAGTTGATCTGATTGAGCCAAACCAATGTGGTTTTTGAATTCACCACATCAAACTTATCCTAAAACAATTGAAAATTTGTTGGCTGTTGCCAGTGCAATAAGCTGAGCAAAGAAATTAAACAGTTTGTCTATTTATAATGGGTCTGCAGGTGAACTGAATCAGCAGTTTGGACAAAGGTGAGACAGGAATATTAACATATACATATATATATTTATTTAGTGGATTTTACA